AAGCGAATGGCCGAGGGCCCTCTTGATTGGTGTGAGTTGCCAGTATGATGCAAGCCAAATATTGATTGATCGAAGAAGAAGAATAGGTTTGCCATTACTGTGGATAAGAGTCATACTGTAGCTCAGTTGGTTAGAGCATTGCTCGCGAATAGCAAGGTCCCTGGTTCGAGTCCCGGTGGTGTGACTGATGTTTTTTTCTTTCTATTGTATCTGGCTTGCAAGTGTTGAGTTTCGGAGAGAAAAGAGCAGTACGAGGCATGTGGCCTCTAATTTCCTAATACTTTGAAATTCTCTGTCGTGAAGTCCAACTTTGAAATACACGTGCACCCGGGTGGTTTGAAATCCTAGAGCAGACACTGACCAGGGCATGATGATTGCACCTAAATGTAGTAACTGTTCTATCAAAGGTTCACCATTTGATTGATTACTGACCGAATACAGGTCCCCGCCCATTATAACTAGTCTGGATAGTACAAAAATCATGTTACTTAGTGCGCGTTCGAATTGTCACTCTTTGACTTTTCGAGGGGCTTCGTTTTTCTGAAGAGGTGGCCTTATTGGCCTCTTCAGAAAAACGAAACTCCTCGAAACTCCACAACCTCATCCGATGGGAGAGGTGGATTAGTTCCGAAGAGTTTGGAATAGCTACGTCACGTAGTACGTGGAGATGGTCGATCTGATCGGACGTCATCATCGCCATGACAATTCCACTAAAAACTTTAAAAATGATAGAAACCGTTCTAATGGGACACTTCAACTAATCTCTTTAAAGGGGAAGTTAAGGCAAAAATTAAAATTTCACCAGTTGTAGTCTTCGGGGTGCTGAGTCGAATGGTCGTGGTCCGAGGAAGCTGAGACGCTCCCTTCCTACTTGAATCCCAATCGAACTCGCGCACTTCCACCGAAACTGGGTGACTGCGCCCTACGAGATGGGGATTTGTATGCAAAATGTCACTAAAAGCGCCATTTCGTTCTTATAAAAGCACGGATGACCGCGATTGGCCCATATGTTGTAGTCTTTTGGACGCTGAGTCGACTGGTTTTGGTCCGAAAAGGCTGCGATGCAGCGTTCCTCCTTTATTCCCAATCGAACATGGTTGAAGAAGCGGTCACGTGCTCCTGCGTACACCAGTCACCTGGTCACCGTGCCTGCAGGGTACAACTTACTAGCCTGTTTGACCTTTTTTGGGTGCAGTCCTGTCACTCGAGTTGAACTCGAGTTGAACCTTGGTGTGAAAGTTGTCACCTGCTGGCGTGGTGACCAGGTGATTTGGGCACCCAGGACCACGTGACCGCTTGTTCAACCATGTTCGATTGGGAATAAAGGAGGAACGCTCCATCGCAGCCTTTTCGGACCAAAACCAGTCGACTCAGCGTCCAAAAGACTACAAAATATGGGCCAATCGCGGTCATCCGTGCTTTTATAAGAACGAAATGGCGCTTTTAGTGACATTTTGCATACAAATCCCCATCTAGTAGGGCGCAGTCACCCAGTTTCGGTGGAAGTGCGCGAGTTCGATTGGGATTCAAGTAGGAAGGGAGCGTCTCAGCTTCCTCGGACCACGACCATTCAACTCAGCACCCCGAAGACTACAACTGGTGAAATTTTAATTTTTGCCTTAACTTCCCCTTAATTAAAAAATTTGTTCGAACAGTTGATGAAGACAATTCGAACGCGCCCTCTAAACAGAAATCTGAACTCCCCTGGCGAAAGGTGGTCTATTGCTTACAGGTCCGATTACAACATAATTCATTAGTACATCAAATTCGTTATAACAACCTTTTCCCCATGTCCCTGGAGTGCCAAACTCATATTTTTCTCATCACTATTGTCATAATATTATGATCACCTCGTGCATGAAACTCGGAGCAACACAATCTTCATCCCCAGGGGTCAGTGTTGTACATGTGGCTGCGCTTGTATCTCTTTGATGTACATGCGGCTGCGCTTGTGTCTCTTTGTCGTACCTGCTGCTGCGATTGTGTCTCTGTGTTGTACATGCTGCTGAACCCTGGTACATGCTGCTGCACTGTCTTTGGCTCCTGCGTACATGCGGCTGAACTGTCTTCTGTCCCCGTTGTATACACACTTTCATGTCTAGCCCCCATTGTACGCCTTCACTATATATTCCGTTGTCTCGTCTTGTCTCAGTGTCAGTACTAATTGTTAGTTGTCAGTGTTAGTTGTTAGTCGTCAGTTCTCTCGTCGGCGCTTGAAGTTCGTTACAGAAAATATCTCTCTTTCGGTATCGAGACACAACTATTTTCCTAGTCTTTTTGTTGTGTGGCGTGGCGAGAGCGTAGAAGAAGTAGTTTGTCTGCCAGCCAAGGCGACATCAGGGTTCTAGCCTAGCCCGTTCTTATTTTTCCCGAACATAGCGGTTTCGTTCTTATTCGATGGTACACAGCGGTTTCGTTCTTATTCGATGGTACAGTCATACCTGTACATCTATGCAGAGTTATGCTTTCCGAGTGCACATTATAGTGTACCTTACGGTTTCCGTTCTCATCTGCAAAAAATCCAGCCTAGACCGTTTCAAAAAATTGGTGAAATTCTAGCCTGGCCGTTCTCCGGCGCTCCATTTCCGGCGCTCTGTTCTTCGGCGCTAAGCTCTTCAGCCCCCACAGTACTGCAGTGCATTGATGCCAGTGTATTCTCACATGATTGTGCCCGGAGATGCAAGTGCACTATAGAGAGCTACATGTACCTGGACAGCTTGGTATTGAACTTGCCGAGAACGTTTCAAAAAAATCAAGATCCTAAAAGTTTGAAGTGCGGTGTGCAATATCACTTCCGAGATCTGATGGTCATCGAGCGAAATTCATGTTTGCATCATGAGTAGGGCCTCTCGCTAAATGCACTGTGCAATGCACGGCACACCGCAGCGAGAACCTCCACTGCACACAAGTATAGTCCACGACTGCATGCGATCTTGAGCTCTTGAGTCACGTGCACACACTGTGCGGAAAGTAAGGTTCGCTAGTCACTCACTGCAGAAGTTGAGCTCGGATCGACTTTCCATGATGTGGCGTGCGATGGGGCTGCCGACGACCAGGCACGCAAACGTTAGAAGAAAATCTCTCGATCGTATCTCTTGTCGCTCATTACACCGCAGAAGTGATACTGTGTGTCACACGTACTACACATATTGACGACAATGTTTCGGTCACAATACATGATGAGCCAAGTCTACCTGTCTGCCCGTGAGAACACCTCTACCATGTATACAGGCCCGTAGCAGCCCCATTTTGGTTGGTCCGGCAAGATCCGACCTCGGTGCCCCCCCCCGAGCCCACACTCCTACATATGCCGGTACATGTACATGTACAAAGTGTACATGATTGTACGTGTATGTACAGTTGTATGTAATTGTGACCATGCAGAGTGACATAGGGCGAGAAAAGGAAGAAGGATGTTCTGCATGAGTCAGGAAAAAGGGCATTAGCATGTTGTGTCCGTCCAAACAGAACTTGTTGAAGCCTATGAAGGCATAGCAACAGTATCTAAACGCATGTGATAAAAGAACCAAAAATGGACCTTTGGTCCCTTGGGGGAGGAGAAAGGACATTGCAATGGAGGAATGGCAGGAGGTCATAAAACACAGGACAACCAACACCCACATAGATCTACATCTATATACATGGTATTCGCAACAACATGTACATGACATGTACTTGAGGACTACTAGAGTTCAAACTTCAAAGTATATACTCTTGCTATTACCATGTACTACCTCTACTTATATACCTCTACTTATTGCACACATCATGGGTGGACATTCTGAGCTGCTTACATGTGTGAGCTCCTTTTTTTGTTTTTTTTGTTTTTTTGTTTTGGCCAAACATTGGTCCGGCAGCTGCCGGACCTGCCGGACCGCCTGCTACGGCCCTGGTATACAATGTATTTCTAAAGAATACATGACGCAGAGGGGAATGATTAGTACTACTATCATGGAGTTTACTCTCATCATGCTAACTCACACCAATAAGAGATGTCAGGATGGCGAAGACCGAGGAAGAAGGAAGTTTGTTATACAGGTGGATTCCTGATAATTCGAACCTCAAAATGCCAGGAAAAAACTTCTAATTATCCGGACATTCTAATTATCCAAACTTGAACCCACAGCACAATATGTATGTCAAAATGCTCTCATGGTCACGCAGAGTTGCGCTAATGGACCTTAGACACAGATTTCGCGGATACTGAACTGACCGGCCCAGCCTGCTCATGTAAACTGAACTGACCAGTACAGTCAAATCTGCCGTAAGCGACCGCCCCTTGGTGCAAGAAAAAGCGGTCTCTTACGGCAGATGTATGGTAAATCCGGCATACCGGGCATGCATACATGTATATGCTTCCATGTACTCAAATCGATGAGAATAATGTGATTTTTAATATCATTTTGGATATTCAATAGAATATGGTGCCAGGGCCAGTCGATCGCACTTGCAAGACAGCGCATTTTCACACCTTGCAGTTGACAGCGCACTGGCAAGTACAGTTTCGCGCCTGACTGAACGTGGGTCGCGGTCGCTTACAGCAGATTTGAATGCAGCCACCTTGCATGAAATCGCGGTCGCCGGTCGCGTACAGCAGATGGTCGCTCTGGACAGATCAATTATTAATTTTGTATGTGAAACCGTCGGTGCACGGAAAATCGGTCGCTAACGGTAGATGGTCGCCTACAGCAGAGGTCACTAACGGCAGATTTGACTGTACAATGTACAGTGAACTTCGAATTACACTTTGCTAACTTCGCATTATCAGCACACATCCCACACATTTTCTATGTA